ACAAACAAACAAAAATAAAAAACAAAAAGAAAGAGGAAGAGGAGGAGGAGAAGGAGGAGGAGGAACAGGAGGAGGAGGAGCAGGAAAAAAGGAGGAGGAAGAGAAGAAGGAAGAGAAAGAGGAGGAGAAAGATCAAATAAGTTTCTTGGATTTTGACAACCAAATATCCTAAAATACACCATAATCACTAATATGGACTCTGAGAGTTTCACTATTATCTGTTTTTTAAAAAGACAGTTCATTTCTCAACATGCCCATAGACTTTAATAGTCCAAAGACACTCAAAGCCCAAAGTCTCTTAATGTCTAATTCAATCAGTTGCTAATCTCAAACTGCTTACAGGATTACTCCTTCAACATGCCATGGACCAGTGGAAACCTGTCTATTCCAAAGGAGAGAACATGGCACCAGACAAGGAAGGACTAGAACAAGTGCGATAGACATGGCCTGTGAGAACCGAACTCCCATAGCGTCACATGCACTGGGTCTGTGGATGCTGAAGGAATCATTTGGATGCCAAAGAACAGTGTCAACCTAAACTGGATCTGTGTGGGCTGAAGCACAGACAGCCCCTGTCTAGATGTTGCTAAGGTTCTAACATGAGTCTACAGCAGGGTTCCAAGTCCACGTAGCTGTCACCTGCGTGTTTCATGAAGACTTTTTGGTATGGATAATATTACATACACATCTGTCAACACATGCTGTTTTGGGAAACTGAGGATGGCTTTGAAACTAGAATTTGGCATTTCCACCTCAGACCCAAGCATATGCATATCCCATGACATCAGTGCCATCTCTCCTAACTGTCATAGGTGGTGAGGGTGTATCACCCCTGTACCTATGTCACTCCTCAAGGGAGAATCTTCCTAAACAGACAGTAACTCTTAAAAATAACTCTGTTGTAGAACAAATGTATATTCATAAAGGATATTTCCATGTGTAATGACACCTCCCTCTGTTCCTGAGGAAGCTGACCTAATAAGGTCTGCACAAACTCCAAGCATGAAGAATACAATGACCACATACGCATAGCAGGAGGTGTGGTCCTGTGAAAGGAAACCTATCATGTGGACGTTGAGGACAAGTGTTCAAGCTCTCCCTGGTGTGGAATCTAGTCCCCTGGTTGCTTTCAGATCAGGATGTAGAGGTCTACCTTCTTCCAGTGCCTCATTTGACTACACACTGCCATGTGTCCTCCATGATGATAATGGACCAAACCTCTGAAACTGTAAGCCAGCTCCGATGAAATGCTTTCTTTTATAAAAGTTGTCTCAGTCTTGGTGTCTCTTCATAACAATAAAACTCTAACTAAAACACTTATTAAACCTAATATTTTGCTCGAGGGGCCTTGTTGACCATTTCTTAGCAACTACTTTTTTAAAAGCCTTTCTACACACAAGCCTCTTTGGTATTGAAGTGAGTGAGAATTAGCTGGGACTTATTCCTCTTTGTTTTCTCTAATGTGCACTTGATGTTTACATATTAGAGTTTACTCTTTGTTTGTATAAAATCTACTATAGAAGGTATCTGAAGTGTTGTCTCTTTCACTTTTTATCCACCAATTTCATCTGACTGGTATACTCCTTTGCTAACTTTAAAACTGATGCATAACCAGTAACCCAAGTACAGTGATCGCCATTATGTAGGACAGGAAGGGAGGGCAGGGAGGCCACTGTTCAACTCTTTGCTGTTGTTCTCATGGCAAAGCCACGAGGAAGATACAAGGTGAGTGTGATGCATCTTATCTCTGGGGAACCATTCGTGTTATCCCCAGTGTTACACTGATGAAGGACTCCTTAGTCTTTTATAGCCAGAGTCATGTGCTATAATCACTGCTCAAGTAGGTCAAGTTTGGATATGTCCAAAACCAACAGGGTTTAAAAAGATACTTATTGGGGCAGAATTTAATGCATGTATAATGTGTTTTATTCAAATTCCTTCACCTCAAATTACATTAACCGTTTATAACAATTTACGCTCCAATGTCTATGCTTTGGCTTTCTTAATTTCTTGTTTCCACTCAGTGCTCCATCTTTGTGTAGGGGTGGAGGTCCATCGACTGGGAACTGGAACCCTCTCAGATGACTGTCTCCCAAAAGAGCCATAGCTCCTCCTCTCTAGGTGAGATGCTCTGAGGCCCTTAGGCAGCCATGCTTGTTGTGAGGCTGGTTTTAGCTTATGCACATGTTGTCCAAGGAGTATGAGCCACAGTGTGATCATGACTGAAACAGTCCTCACATTTCTAGCAAATATGGTTTCACTGTAGACATCATTATATCTGGCTCTGACCATCTTTCTACCTCTTCTCCCTCAGAGATCCCTGACTCTCCACATTACTGGTATGATATAGGTATCACATCTAGATCAGTGCCTCTACAGAGTATTGTTCTCCACAGTTTGACCAACTGTGAGTCTCTGGATCATTCTCCCTCTACCACACTATTAAATTTTCTGGTGGGTGGTAGATGGGGCCTGACTCTGTGGACACAAAGATAAGGTCACCCATAAGGATAACAGGAGTAGGGTCTCCCTAGGGTATACCACCTAGACCCACACAGCTTTATCATCTGATTAACGTCACCAGTTCTTAGTTACTGTCTGTTGAGTGAACTTTAAATTCAACCTGAAAATAACTGGTCATTACAATAAGATTTCTGTCACTATTGTCCCACGGCTGCATCAGTTTGCCCAGCCATTTACTCTACTCCCTGAGTTCACAGCTGGGTAAGACGGTTTATCAGGTTCTCCCACGGTGGCATACCTAGACTGTGCTTCCACTATGAAACCCAACCAGTTGACAGGAAGCTTCTAAGTTGGTTCCACCTGAGGGTACAAATGACCAGCCACTGTTCATAAAACGAGAATTCTCTCTTTACTTCAGAACTGGGAAATTAAATAACCCATGTGAGAAAGTTATTAAATGGCTTATTATCAAGCCCTTTAAGAATATAGGTGAGAGCCGGGCAGTCATGGCACCTTTAATCCCAGCACTCGGGAGGCAGAGGCAGGCAGATTTCTGAGTTCAAGGCCAGCCTGGTCTACAGTGTGAGTTCCAGGACAGCCAGGGCTATACAGAGAAACCCTGTCTCAAAAAACCCAAACCAAAAAAACAAAAACAAAAAAGAGTACAGGTGAGCAGGCTAGAGAGATGGCTCAGTGGTTAAGAGCACTGACTGCTCTTCAAGAGGTCCTGAGTCCAATTCCCAGCAACAATATCGTGACTCACAACCATCTGTATAGGGATCTGATGCTCTTTCTGGTGTGTCTGAAGAGAGCAATGGTGAATACATAAAATAAATGACATCTTTTTAGAAAAGGAGGAATGTCGGTGAGCAAGCTTGAGCTTCCATCTAGAAATGCTCTTAATAGGGAAGGAAGTGAGGGTGGAGTTTCTAAGGCCAAAAGGCTGCACTCACATCACAGGAGATGGACGCTGAAAGGTTCTGTTTCTTTGGTTTTGTTGTTGTTTGGTTTTTTTTCACCTTACCCTTGCACAGCAGGGAAGTAGGGACCCTTGCACCTTTAAAACACAACATAATGGCCATTTTTCAGGAGCGACCCTTTGTATACAGGTCCTCTCTCAGCACAGAAGGATTCCTCTTTGAGAAGATGGGAAATATGATTTACTTCCCTGAGGAGGCTCCAGAGGGTCTGAGGTACAGTGTGAGGACAATCTGACCTGGCCTAAGTCATGCCATTCACCACTTCTTTTAGTTTTTTTCAAATCCTTGAATTTTATGAAGTGAGGGGCCTGGGCCCTTGCACTCATTTTTCCTGAGGCAACCTGGCATTTGTACAAGAGTAACAACCAGTTAACTCATCAGGGCCCAGTTGTGAAACCAGATGTAGCACAGGAGACAAGAGCACCAGACTTTCACAAAGTCTTTTCCCTTACGTCCTTAATATGTTATGGTATATGACTTCCACACAACTTACTCTGATGGGTTATTTCCCATCCAGGAGGAGTGGTGGTATTGTGCCTGAGGATGTCCTGCCATCCAAGGATATTGTAAATTTAACACCTTCAGCTCCAGTACTCTAGGTCACAGACAAAGATTTTTAAAAATATAATTATAGTTGATTATACAGAAGACTACAGAATGAGAGATATGAATTGGTCTCTCCATCCCATCTTGTCTCCATAAATTTCACTTGTACTTAGCATGAAAAAGGGTACAATTTTAGGTACATTAGAGACATTTAGTCACAGAAAACTTATTGTTAACTTTTAGGTTTTAATTGCCCATGATATATAACTGTTTACCCAAATTAGTAAACTCAGGTTTGAAATGACTTTTTAGGATCTGTATGAATAACACAGTAAGACCTGCACCTATGTTTGATACCTGACGGCACATATCCACTCATCAACCACATCCCTTTTACTGAGTGAGTGCATGGGGCTTGAGTCCATATTTCAACTCCCTGCCAAATTTTCATGACATGAATATTGGAGTCATATGAGAAAAACTGTTCTGAAACAAAAGTAAATACAAGTTCTTCATTCTGGAACTAAATATGACTTCAGTATGTTTAGTTAGATTTTCCTGGAGAGAGAAACACTAATGCCCATTCAGTCTAAGTGAGAACCAATGCAGACCATTTTACAAAAGGTGAAACGTGAGTTTAGCAAGCATTTTACATGCCCAAGGGAAACAATATTGGAGGAGCTTGAGTGACACCGCTGAGAAAAACAGTAACTATACCATGGCTCAGATCTTAGACCCACGTTATGAAATAATAACAGTTTTGTTTTATATCTATAGGTATAGTAGAAAGAGACTCATCAATCATGCAATATTCAAGCACACTATAGAACACACTGGTTGGGAGGATATAGCAAAGACAAGTGTCTACTGTTCTCTGATGACATCCTCTGTATTTGTACTGATGATGTAACATGTTGCTGTTGACATTCCAAACTCATTCACTTAATAGTCTACACTATGGATTGAGTTGGGTAAGGTTTGAAGGATTAGAAATGATTTTACCACACTCCACACAGTCACAGAGTTTTATTCACTATGAATTATTTGATGTCTTTTAAGGGCTGAAGAAGTATAAACTTTTTAAGACCTTTGCAGGCTTTCTCTCCAGTATGAACTGTCATGTGTCGAGTAAGGCTATAAGGATTATCAAAGGCTTTGCCACATTCCACACACTTGTGTGGATTGTCTTCAGAGTGAATTGCTTGATGTCGTACAAGGCATGAGGATGAGGAAAAGCACCTAGGACACTTTTCACACTTGTATGGTTTCTCTCCAGTATGAACTGTCATGTGTCGTGTAAGGCTATAAACATCAACAAAGGGTTTGCCACATTCTACACACTTGTGTGGATTGTCTTCAGAGTGAATTGCTTGATGTCGTACAAGGCCTGAGGATGAAGAAAAGCACTTAGGACACTTTTCACACTTGTAAGGTTTCTCTCCAGTATGAAGTGTCTTATGTTTCCTAAGGGATGATCGATAACGGAAGGTTTTGGGACAATTGTCACACTTGTACGGTTTCTCTCCAGAATGAATTGTTTGATGTTCCTGAAGACTTCTACCATATGAAAATGTTTTTCCACATTCTTCACATTTATAGGGATTCTCCTCAGAATGGAATGTTTGATGTCTTGTGAGGGATGAAGAGAAGCGGAAACATCGGCCACAGTCTTCACACTTGTAGGGGTTGTCTTCAGAGTGTAATGATAGTTGATGTCTTCTAAGGGATGAAGATGAGGAAAGACGTCTGCCACACTCTTCACACTTGTAAGGTTTCTCTCCAGTATGAACTCTCTTGTGTATCTTAAGGTTTAAGTGATAACGGAAGGCTTTGGGACAATTTTCACACTTGTATGGTTTCTCTCCAGTATGAATTGTTTGATGTTCCTGAAGACTTGCAGAACATGAAAACCTTTTTCCACATTCTTCACATTTGTAGGGATTGTCCTCAGAATGGAGTGTTTGATGTCGTCTAAGGGATGAAGATGAGCAGAAACATCTCCCACAGTCTTCACACTTGTAGGGGTTGTCTTCAGAGTGAATTGTTTGATGTCTTCTAAGGCAGATAGATGAGGAAAAACATCTCCCACACTCTCCACACTTGTAAGGTTTCTCTCCAGTGTGAACTGTCTTGTGTATCCTAAGGGATGAGAGACAACGAAAGGCTTTATAACATTCTCCACACTTGTAGGGTTTCTCTCCAGTATAGATTTGTTCCTGATTCTGAAGGTGTAGAGCAGAAGAAAATCTTTTGACACATTCTTCATACTGGGAGGGATTTTCTCTACAATGAATTCTTTGATGTTGCTTAAGGACAGAGGGATAGAGAAAGGATTTCCCAAAGTCTTCATTCTTGTAGGTTTTCTCTCTAGAATGATTTTGCTGATGTTGCTTGAGATTTGAAGAAGAGTAAAACGATTCTCCACATTCTTCACACTTGTAGGTTTTCTCTCTAGAGTGAACTCTCTGATGTTGCTTGAGCATTGAAGGATAGTAAAATGATTTGCCACAGTCTTCACACTTGTAGGGTTTTTTATCAGTATGGATTTTCTTGTGAATAGAAAGTGATGACCTACAAGTAAAGGCCTTATGACACTCTCCACACTTGTAGGGTTTGTCTCCAGTATGAAGTCGCAGGTGTATGATAAATCCTTTATGAGAACTCAGGGCCTTACCACATTCTCCACACTTGTAGGGTTTCCCCCCTGCATGAATTCTTTGTTGATTAATAAGTAGTGATTTATAATTAGTGGTCTTGCTGTAGTAGTTAGGATCATTGGGTGTTATTCCTGTTGAGTCAAAGTTGAGATACGAACAAAAGTTAAGCAATATTCTTTATACTTATATGGATAACTTTTTAAAGTGAAGACATTGATTCATATGTATTTAACCTTAAATCAAAATCTGCAGTATATTTCAATGCCTGTAAGCACTCAGGAAAATTCACAAATAGAGTAGGTGCAAAGAATGTGTACTTTTACTGGAGTAAGAGCACAATCAAACA